TAGACGTTCCAGTCTATTTTGGAGATGCTGGTAGTCGAGAGGTATGTATGATAAGTTAAAAGTATAGTTTTATCATATGCAGGTTTAGTGTATGACATGCTTTCTACCCCATGAATAGGTACTCCACAAAGTTGGTGCTGAACGAGCATGCGCTGCAGCCATCACTTTAGATTCTCCTGGTGCAAACTATAGAACTGTCTGGGCTCTAAGCAAGTATTTCCCAAACGTGAAAACTTTTGTTCGTGCCCATGACGTTGATCATGGCCTTAATTTGGAGAAGGCTGGGGCTACAGCGGTAATATTTTAATGCCTGTTCTTACTTTGCTCTCTGTTGACTGCACCTGTCTGAAGCAATCCCTATATTTAATGGAGTAGAATATCTAATGACTAATGAGTGGCTTAAAAATTGGAATGCTTGTGTATTATTTATCTCTTATAGATTGCATTCATGAGAATTTGGCTCACTCTCAAGCAACTTACAGGTTGTCCCAGAGACCTTGGAACCGAGTCTGCAGTTGGCAGCTGCTGTTCTTGCTCAGGTGAATTACTTAATTGTCAATATCTTATCTCTTCATAAGATTGCCCGATCTTCGAGATTCTGTTTGTTGTATTGTGTTAAAACTTATTCAATAGCTTTGCACACATTCTTTTCTTGTTTTCAACTTGAGATTGCAGTTCTTATTGTTTTATTTATTTTTCTCCCGAAGATAATCGTGACATTGTTCTTGGTTGGAAGTCTCTAAGATTGTCGTCTCTTCGTATTTATATCCTGTTCTTGTTCAGGCTAAACTACCCATGTCAGAGATTGCAGCAACCATCAATGAATATAGGTCCCGCCACCTTGCTGAGCTAACTGAGGTACTTGACATTCGCCTTTTATTTTATTTTTTAACACAACATATTATTACAATTTTAGTTGTGGCTTTGCTCCTGATACTTGGGATCTTCAAATTTATGTTTTTCTCTGCAGTTATGTGAAACGAGCGGAAGTTCTCTTGGCTATGGATTCTCTCGAATGATGAGTAAACCCAAACCTCTGTCTCCCGATTCTATGGATGAGAACCAATTCACTGAAGGAACACTGGCTATATAAAAAATGCCCAATTGTAAACACAGCAAAAAGGAAAATGTAGAAACGGCATAAGCACTGTATAGCAGATTACTTCTTCCCTTTTGGTTGGACCCAAAAAGAAAAAGACTCATCTACCATCTTCCATTGGGTATAAGTTGTACAGAAAATACACTGAAGAGGCAATCAATAGCAAACAGCTGACTCTGACGACCCTTTTTGTTGGATAAACTTGGTTGAATCTTTTGTTCTTGATGCATCTTTGTCTAAAGGCAGGCTGAAGACTCAGCCTATCATTTGTTTTGGACTATGTTTGGGTCTATGGCGTAGGAAATATCATAAAATTTCAAATCTTCTCTCATGTTTTCCTTGTTTTTTGAATGGGTGAATTGGGAAAAGTATCTCCTATCTGACTTTTTGTTCATTGGAAATTTGGAATGAATCTTAGAATGGAGTGGACGTTCTTTTAAAATCACCACTTAGTTGTTTGCTTTACATATAATCTAATTGGGCAGCGATTTACATATAATCCCTACTTCGACCATTTGCACTATTAAACTGAATATTTTTACATTTCTGCACTAGAGGATTGTATAAGATTTGTTAAAAGAAGAGCGTTAAAATCACTAGTCACAAGATGACCAAAGAAATTCCTGTATTCAAAATTTATTTTTAATCACTTGAATTATTAGTATCGTATAGCTTAGTAATATCTCTAACAAGAAATGTTAAATTGATAACAGGTACAGCCCAGTTATACTTAGTAATATCTTTAATAAGAAATGTTAAATTGCTAATAGGTCCGGTCCAGCCCAGTTAAAAGGGCATTGACTTGTAAACAGTTGGTATTAGTTCGTATTCATATAACACCTTGACAGTGCTTGTGTGATAATACCTCCATTATCCTTTGTATAAAAAAAATAAAAAAAAATCGTTATTATATTATTATTTTAATTTTATTAATGGTTTTTCATGCAAGAAAATAATTTACTTTTTGCGCCACCCTGTTTTTCTACTGTCACTGCTCACCGCACACATGGCGTAATAGTTACTCGGCTACTTCCATTCCATCTTTTATCTCACAGCGACTTAGGCAAGTAAAGCTCAACCCTAAAACCCCCAAAAGGGTTTTGAAGTTTGAGCATAACGTACAGAAGAGGACTATCTTCTTCTTGTTGTCTGGTAAAATCTCAATACCAGATGGCGTCGATGATGTTCACGGACTGCTCGTCCTCCACCACCGCTCGGCTCCTCCCCTTCAGACACAACCCTCTCCTCTGCAGAAATAACGGCGTCGTTTCCCTTCGTCGCCTCGTAAACCTTAGCTCTCCCAGAAGCCTCCGCCTTCACTCCTCTTCTTCACTCTCTCCATCACCCACTGGTACGGTTCTCTTCCCTCTCAATTAGAGTTTTCTGATAAGAATGTAATGTAAAAGCTGGTTTAGAGTGGTCGTATCCCCTGTTACATTTCTTCGAATATGTAGAAGCCCATGAATGAACCCTTAGCAAAATTATGCTTTCTACCATGCTTTGGTATTTTTTGAGTAACTGATTAGTGTCACAGACTAGGTTTGATTTTTGTTCTTGGGCAAATGGGAATTGTTTTATTGCATTAACTGTTTGGTGGTCACATTACAAATCCTTGATAGATATTGATTATTCCAACCTTACTCTGCAATTTCTCTAATTTTTTTAATGAAATTTTCTATACTGTAGTTAATAGATATTGGTCGATTTTACAGCTTCATTGGCAACTGAAACACCGGCTAAAGTGATTGATGGAAAATCAGTTGCGAAGCAAATTAGAGATGAGATCAATGCTGAAGTGGCGAGAATGAAGGATGCAATTGGAATTGTTCCAGGTTTAGCAGTTATTCTTGTCGGGGACAGGAAGGACTCTGCCACTTATGTGCGCAACAAGAAAAAAGCTTGTGATTCTGTCGGGATTAATTCATTTGAAGTGCGTTTGCCGGAGGATTCCACAGAACAAGAAGTGCTCAAATTCATCTCGAACTTCAATGATGACTCCTCAGTTCATGGCATCCTTGTTCAGTTACCTCTGCCTCCTGTATGCTTTTAAATTTGAATTTTGCTTTCCCTTTGTGAAATTATGTTGCAATGAGAATATAAATAACAAGTTGTTTTGAAGGCATATCTTGCAAAAGTCTTCAAGCTCTTCTATTCATCCATTTTGGCCAATGCTCTCTTTTAGCCAATAGAGAACTGTTGGGTCATGTAGGTGCATGTTTTAGCTTCTGAAGAATGATTCACTCTATAGTTTGTTGTAGATGAATATTTGTTGTTTCTTGAAGAGTTCATTATATACATGCCTTTACGTACTTAGCTATGAATTAGGTAAGTGTACGTTTGGTTGCCCATGTATCTTTCATCCCTTAAACCTCAAGTTGTCAGTAAAACATGATCTATGGATCATTACGATCATGACCATGTTCATGTATATGAATTGTACATTTGATTAGATTTACAGTTGTGCTCCCATGATTTATTATGACTAAACAATCTAATTGTTTTGATGTGTATGTTACCAGCATATGAATGAGCAAAACATCTTAAATGCGGTTAGCATTGAGAAAGATGTGGATGGGTTTCACCCGCTAAATATTGGTCGTCTTGCCATGCGTGGAAGGGACCCCTTGTTTGTGCCTTGTACACCAAAAGGGTGCATAGAGTTGTTGCATAGGTATGGTGTACCTATCAAAGGAAAGAGAGCAGTTGTAATTGGACGGAGCAATATTGTTGGGATGCCAGCTGCTTTATTGCTGCAGGTGACATTCGTTTGCCCCGGTAGTAATTTGCTTATTTGTGTTCATGAGTTAAACTTGATTTTTGAATGTTGGTAGAGGGAAGATGCTACAATCAGTATAGTCCATTCCCGAACCAAGAATCCTGAGGAGATCACAAGACAAGCAGATATCATAATCTCAGCTGTAGGGCAACCAAATATGGTGAGGGGTAGCTGGATTAAACCTGGTGCAGTGATTATTGATGTCGGAATAAATCCAGTTGAGGTGAGAAGGGCTCATAGTTTAACAATTCATTCCTTATGAACCCCACCCCCCAACACCACCCCA